TGTTCTGTCCTTGGTCCAGTCCTAAGTATTTTGTTTGTCGCCTAGAGTTTTCTCCTTTTAATTACCGTAGGAGAGTCTAGATCCACCCTAACTAGAAGTCCTTAATACCTACTGGACTATATAAGTAAAGGGACGGGTAGTGCACGCTTAGGATACATCTTAAGGTTGCTAGAACGCTTTAGGCTATGACCAAGGTGAGGGTAATTGGGTAGTAAAGGATATGATGACCTGTGCGCTAATGCCACGTGTAACCCCATCTAGTTGAGGAAGGCTTACCGGGTATTGTACAGATGTGATCCTGTAGGCTAAAACACCTAGGACCCCTTTTACTCCTTGTTTTAAATGTAATTCGTCTAATTTGCTTTATTTGTTTATAAGACTAATTCACATAATTTGAGTTCGGGCGGGACCCACCGTTATGGACCGCGAGGGGTGCCTAACACCTTCCCCTCAAGGTTATTTCGAGCCCTTACCCAAATCTCTGGTAATGCAAACCGGTTTCATGAGTTATTTGCTTTAGGTGCCCTAACGCACCTTAAATCCGTTAGGTGGTGACTCTTCAAATTCCATACCCAATTCCCAAAAGGAAATGAGTTGTTCCCAATGAATGTCGAAACCCGGACTCCACGAGGAAAAATAAGGCCCGACAATAAGCGGTAAAGTCCTACGAAGGAGAAGAAAGATTTCTGCTTATGAGATAGAAGGAGTGTGGAAAAACTTCAAAATCAATGAACCATCCCATATTTATAAGGTTTGGGGGCACCAGAATCAAAATGGTTGCTCATAATTTGCACAGAGATCGAAATGGTAGAACCAATCAAAGGCCACACGAGAATCGACGCTATGCATCGGGAAACAACGTCATCACAACATCACTCCTTCTCATGGACCAGATAACTCCAACAAATTACCTAGAAAATTCAAGGAATTTGAAATACGCGGCCCACGGAGAGTCACGTTGCGTGATCGCTACAACGACCACGACCCGCATAGTCTGCTCGATAAGCTTGACCGCAAATGTCATTATCCGCTCATTGAACTCACCCGCGAGGACGACCTCAACAAGCGGAGGGACTAACTGTATGAGCAAAAACTTATCTTTGATACAAGCGAACCGCGTCGGCATCAAGAGAGCCTTCGTAGGCGGCCCCATGTCATTAGTACGAATTCAATAAAGGCATGCCCGAGGTCGAAGTAATCCCTTAAGATATGAAAGGTGAGGTCGAAGAGATAGTGAAGACCAAGGTCGAAGATTCATCATAGATCAAGGTCGAGGTCGAGCATCTTAGATAGAGTTATAACGGCTAGTTTTAGGATCAGACACAAAAGAGAATATTCTAGTGGATATTCTATGTACCTGTACTATTGGGGTTTTTGGGTATATGCTCCCTATATCTCTTATTTACTTAAATGCCATTCAATACTATTTATTGTTAGTTAATAGTATCCTCCTCCTTTTGAGTTATTGAATATTCTTAGTATTGTTCACATTTATTGCCATTCGGTCAAACACATATATTATTTTATTTTAAAATCAGTTAACACATCTTTTGAATATTAATATTGGCTAATAGTGACTCTATTTTATTTAAATCTAATTGGTTGGACCCGGATCTAAATTTTGGGTCAAACAAGTACATTCCAATAGCTTATCTTTGGGCCTTCAGTATGCTCAACTATTTATATGGCCTACTTTTATATTGTCTGGCTTTTTAAATAGGGCCTCTGATTCGGGAACGAGGAGATTTTAATTTTGGAGAATGTTGTAGTATGTAGCAATTGTTTTCTTCCTCTTTCTCGTAAAAACTGCACAGGGTGCCCTATTTGGTCGCCCCCATTTAACCTATACCCATTTTTCTTTTAAAAGTTTTAACTTGTACCCACTTCTTAAACAACTTCAGCCCCTTTTATCCTCATCCTTCGTTTTCTTCTTTTTCTTTCTTCTGTTGTTGTTGGTGCTTCTATGAAACTTCAATTCATGGGATGATTGTCATAAGTATGTTTATCAAATTATTTAAAAATAAATTATAATTAATTACATAAGTTAGTAGACAATAATTTGTGAATATTTCCACGCAGGGGAAGTTTAAGGTCACACTTAGTGATTCTTTTCATGATAATTCTGTTCTTTTCATGTTTATTGTTTCCAAAATTTATGATTTAGATACTGTTGGCAATCTGATTATTTTATAGTAGTAATACACTATGAAAGAATAAGGTGATTATTTATCTAGTATGTTAGAAAGCTTTTTCAAAAACTTCAGCTTATATAGTGCTGAAGTTTTTACAAATGAACTAAATAACTTCAACATCTTCTGCTGAAGTTTTTGAAAAAGTTTTATGACAAAACTAATGAATCCAGGACAAAAAAAACTTCAGCTTATTTAGTGCTGAAGTTTTGACAAATGAACTAAATAATTTCAGCATGTTCTGCTGAAGTTTTTGAAAAAGCTTTATGACAAAACTAATGAATCCAGGACAAAAAAACTTCAGCTTATTTAGTGCTGAAGTTTTTACAAATGAACTAAATAACTTCAACATCTTCTGCTGAAATTTTTGAAAAAGCTTAATGACAAAACTAATGAATCCAGGACAAAAAAACTTCAGCTTATTTAGTGCTGAAGTTTTTACAAATGAACTAAACAACTTCAGCATCACAAAACTTCAGCTACTAGAATGCTTAAGTTCAGCAATTACAAATAAAAACTTCAACAAATAAAGAACAAAATTTCAGCACTAGAATGCTTAAGTTCAGCAATTACAAACAAAAACTTCAACACACTTGGTTCAGCAATTTTTGCTACTTCAGGCCCGTCTACTAGAATGCTGAAGTTTGCGTGATTGCCTTTGCTACTTCAGGCCCGTATGCTAAAGTTATGCGAAAAAGTGGGTACGCTTTCAATTTTTTTTACAAAGCGGGTACAAGTTAAAACGTGACCCAAAAAGCGGATATAGATGCAAATCCTCCCTCTTTCTCTGAGAATGTATATTAGTTTATTTTTCTCAATTTCTCTTCTGATTGTAAGGAAAAAAATTTGTATATAACCAAAAAATGTCAGGAAAAAAGTTTATTGCGAAGAGAACTATGAGTAAAATCAGGGAAACATAGCCAATAGACAATTTGGCATGTTAAAATATATACTGGTTGTTGGTATTAACTTTCACGTCCTTTCATTTCTTGAATTTTAGTAAGTACTATCATGCTATTTTTACACATTGGATCTGCTGTACTCCCATATCATTACAATTTATGACGTGATAGAATCAACGATTTATAATTGAGTATCCGACAAAAAGGTAAATATTTTGTATCCCAAACACAACAGTTTTAACACTAGAAAAACAATATCGTACAAAATAGGATAGAAGAGTAATGCAATAAACTAAAAGCATATAAATTTTAATGATTAGTGAAGTGATATGCCCGTTTGAGTTCAACTCGACTTAACTCTTATTTTAGCTTAACTCTTTTCAAGAAAAGCTGCCAAGATGTGTCTTTTTCTTGATGAAGCAAGCTTCACGTCAAAATTCAACTTGGTTGAATCACGTCCTTACCTTAAAAAATAAAACTATTTCTTTCCACCGATAAACTTTAATGTATTTTTATACAATAATTGAACTTTTTCATATAATAGTTATTGACTCGATTGAGTATTTAACAAGCAGCTCATCTTGGCTAGGCACAATCTCAAGTCAAGCATAATAAGATGCAAAAGAAAACTAGTTATCGTCAGAGTTGTGGAGATCAAATTCCATTTCTACCCATTGAGGAACAATTTGTCACTTCTCCAAAATGCCAAAAAAAAGGGTAAGGAGAAAAATGAAAATGGACCTATTTAATTGACTAGTTTGAATTTTATGGGTAGTCACTACGCAAATGTTGTTGGAATATTCTTGCTTTTTCCAAAATCATAAATGAAGACGTGTAATCAAAGAGGACTTTACTAATTGGAAGTTAAGCGGCGAGAACATAGGCCACGCTACTAGCTTCTCCCATTAGTTAGTTTCCCTATGGCTTGGAAACTATCTGCGCGTCCATTCTCCTACCATTTATATTGGAGAGACCTTTTTTCTTTTGCTAAATCATTTGAGTTTCAACTTAATAGCTCTGTTTTTGAGTTTTAACTTTGTCTATGTTTTACAAAATTTATTAAATAAATATAAATACTACGGCTCAATAAAAAAAAATGGACTGTGGTAAAATATCAAACTCACAAATACAACCAGAAAGAGGTATTTACATCCATAGCATAGTTTACAATCATTCATCACGGGCACGTCGGTACGTAGAGGAAGAATTCAATGAAGGACCGCTTTGACCTATACAAGTGGATAAAGTTAGAACTACCTTGTAGACAATGAATTATAGACATCTAATTGCTATTTCCTTTTATTTAAAAAAAAAACAAAGAGATTCAAATTGATAAAGTAAAATTATTGCCTTTCCTGGATGTTATGTCGTATTCTTACGAATTACGATAATTAAGTGAGCAATATATGCATTGATGCATGAGTAACTTCTGCATTGAATTAAGATTAAAATGAGTTTTCTTTAATAAAAAATTTATAACCAAAGAGAAACAGATTAGAGAAATATGTATTTTAGCCGCTCCCAAGAATATATATATATATATATATATATATATATATTATATACTTTTTGACTAGCCAATGAAGGTGTGAAGCTACACTTACTTAAGAATGGTCAATGGATCACCTTCGACAAAAAAATATATTGTAATATTATATAATTAAAATATTAAATTTTAAAGATAAATAATATATATTGAACATCCTTTATCAGAAAATTATTTTTTTTATTTTTTAAGTTTAAACTCTCTTAAAGAAATTTCTGACTTAGCTATTGAACGGATGCAATTAGTTTCGGCATCAATTTTATATTTTACCCAACAAATAACTGGCGTGTCGTAACAGAACGTGATAACCCGTGATAGTGGCCGTTCAATAAAAATGGTTAAGATCAGGGGTATTTTCAGCAAAGTGGGAATATAAGCGTCAGTGTTCGCCCAAACAATCTTCCCGTCCCAGTACCCAAGAATAGCATCCCATTTTAACTTCGCTTTTGCTATCGTCTTCTTCTCCATACAATCTCCAAAGACAACCAGCAGCGGCATATTTGTTTCTCAATCCTTTCTATACGTGTGGGTTCACCTGTGAGAATGTGGCGGTGTGTGTCGCGTGGCCTTCGCGCTTCCTCTAACAGATCTATCTCCGGCGGCGGCCATTTTCGCCGACTTTTCTCCTCACAGGCTGTACGGTTTTCCTCTCTCTCTCTCTCTCTTTTTTCAATCTATTCATTTGATCAGCTAATCTTAATCATTTGTTTTATCTATTTTTTGAATCTTAACGATTTTTGATTGATAAATTCTGTATTGAAGTTTTGCTGTCTCATTACTCGTGACCTAGCTGTTAGTGAATCTTAAGGATTTTCAATTGATTAAAATTTGTATTAAATTTTGATCTTTCATTAGGCTCATGACCTAGCTGTTATTAGATTTGATCTTTTCTCTTTGAAGGTCTTTGCGTTCGATCATTGTAGATTCTCCAAGCTTATGATTTTTCATTTTTTTATCCTCAAAGCTCCTTTTTGGCCTATTTTTACTAGCTTTGTTTTCTTCTATATAAGCTGAGGTTTCGGGTTTCTTTGTAAAATAATTATTTTATTAAGTTCTGATGATTTTTTTTTTTTTGGATGAATATTNGCTTTTCTTTTTATGAACTGATAACATTTGTATATATTACCAAAATCAGTACATAGGTTGATTGAAACCATATTTACAGGTAAGTACAATAAGAGAATTGGTACTGCAATCCTAGCAAGACCCTAAATATCTAAAATTGACACAGTAACTTCTGTGTAAGTCTGTTTAGCACCAAAACAAAAGAGTAGAACACAACTAAGCTTGATCTTCTGCTATCACACATACGATGCAGTGGTGGTAGGTGCAGGTGGTGCAGGGCTTCGAGCGGCAATAGGGTTGTCTGAGCATGGATTCAATACTGCTTGCATAACCAAGCTCTTTCCTACTCGATCTCACACCGTTGCAGCTCAGGTACCTGGTTTTCTAATCCATATACAAGACGTATACGGAAAGTATAGATTTTTAGGCAAAAATATGACTCTGTACAAAGAGCACCCTATCATCTGCACTAATTGGGACCCTTTGCTCACTGTTGTCGGGTTACCTGTTCATTGGCGGGCTGTGCCGACTAAACAATATTCATTTTTTATACTGAATTTACTTGGAATTGATTACAAACATGGAGAAGTTCGCTGTATTTTCTTAAAGTAGTTAAACTCATGACAGTAGCAGTTTAGGTGGATTTGTGTTATAGTTTGCACAGAGCTATTAATCACTTTATGACTGGAATATGTTAAATCAAACCGGAGAACTTTGTTTTGATTGTTTTCCACTCTTCCTTTCTCTCAGTAGTATATTACTCATTCTCTTAAAGTTTTCTTCTTGGCTTGTTATCTGTTGAGATTTGAGAACTTCATGGTGGTGCATTCTTGACTATGCCAGTTGAGGGAGATTTGTGTTGTCTGTATAAAAGGAAATCAGCTCATTTTTGTGTCCTCCTGGCTTAAAATTTTCTGCTGTTGTATTCCCTTTTCAATCTTTATGCAGAACTTGCTTAAAATTCAAATTGCCTGGTCTTCTTATGCATGAGTTATTATGCTTGCCCTTCTATTTTGTCGCTTTTTTATGAAGATATTATGTTATATCCTTTTTGTTCATGTTTGCTATATGCAAGTAACTTCCCTAGGTAGAACACACTTAATCTGCATTTTGTCCCTACACTTCCTCCCCAAAAAATGTTTCTCTTAGAGTAATCGGGGAGAAACTGGTTTCGCTGTGCTGCTAGATGGACCAACAATACCTAAAATATTAACAGCTCTTATCGGATAGGCAATATTGCATATAATTGCTAAATTTTCCATTTCGAGACCCAATATGTTTGTGATTTTCCTTCGTAGGGCGGTATAAATGCAGCATTAGGCAATATGACAGAGGACGATTGGAGGTGGCACATGTATGATACAGTTAAAGGAAGTGATTGGTTAGGTAAGTTTGTCTTGAACTCAGATTTTCTCCATGTCTGTTTGCATCAACTCAGTGCTGCCTTTGTATGTGTGAACCACGTGAAACTCAAAGTGCAGAATAGAAATCTGTGCACTGCAATTGTTACAGATTTGTACACCTTACTTACACATGTTCTGCTTCAAAACAAAGCCAACTGCTTTCAAACAATGTAATTAAGGGGCCAAAGTTACATGGTTTTACCACATTGAGTATACTATATGAGTGCAATGTGTGTCGTACATTTTTTAGAAACTAATCAAATTTATTTATTTCGTTATTTGTTTTTTTTTTTGGGCAAGAAGTGGTACAAGGTTGAGAGAGTGGGTTCCGATCTCCGGACCTTCGAATTTTTGCCTTGGGGTTTTCCTTGTGTGTTTGTACATTGCTTTCTCTCAGTGCGAGTCTGGTGATGATTTTCCAGGTGATCAGGATGCTATCCAATACATGTGTAGAGAAGCGCCCAAAGCAGTTATAGAGCTTGAGAATTATGGTTTGCCTTTCTCTCGAACTGAAGATGGTAAAATATATCAACGTGCATTTGGTGGTCAAAGCCTAGACTTTGGAAAAGGTAAGAAGTTGAACTCTTGATCTAATGGTATTATTAAATCAATCTGACTCTTGTTTTTTCTTGGACAGGAGGACAAGCATATCGTTGTGCTTGTGCTGCCGATCGGACTGGGCATGCTCTATTGCATACTCTTTATGGGCAGGCCATGAAGCATAATACACAGTTTTTCGTGGAATATTTTGCTTTGGATTTACTAATGAACAGTGATGGTATTTTCTTCTACTTACTATATACTTGCACTTGTGCTGGATTGTTTTGGACACTTTGAAATGTAGTAATCTAGCACAATACATACTGAAAAATGTCCTGTATTTCTATTGATACTTTGATCATTTTCCTAATTGGATGATTGATTAGTATATATGTGGCTGAGGCTACATGTAGATTCGTAGGACTCTTGCTCATTTTTGGTTGATTCATTCTACTAATCATATCTTCTCTTTTGAAATGCATCAAAACTAGGGAGCTGCCAAGGTGTAATAGCACTAAATATGGAGGATGGTACCTTGCATCGGTTCCGTGCTGCCTCTACTATTTTGGCCACAGGGGTACTTACCTGTTAACACTGACCTCTCCTCTGCTTAGACTTCTGGAAGTAGTCATGAATTTTAAACCTTCTCATTTATAAATTTTGGTTTAGGGTTATGGTCGAGCTTACTTCTCTGCAACATCTGCTCATACTTGCACCGGAGATGGTAATGCTATGGTCGCGCGTGCTGGGCTTCCTCTTGAGGTCTCTTTAATACTAACATCTTCCGGCTGTGCAATTTTCCCCTCTACTTTTGGTACCTTATTTCGAAAAAACTCTGTTGTTGTCTTCTTGCAGGATCTTGAGTTTGTGCAGTTTCATCCAACTGGTATATATGGAGCTGGTTGTCTCATTACTGAAGGTTTGTTTCTTGTTCGATGCTATTCGTAAGGACAATAATATATTGTTTTTTCAATTTTCTGTCAACTATTCTTCCGTTCGTATTACCTGATTTCGTGAATACAGTGTATCTTCCTTTTGATGAGTGATCTTTTTAGTGTAGTGCTTTCGCTATTCTGTTGGCATATTCTTGAATTTCTGTTTTTTTTACGAGTGCTTTATTCCATGCTTAGGATCTCGTGGTGAAGGTGGTATTCTGAGGAATAGTGAGGGTGAGCGATTTATGGAAAGGTATGCCCCAACAGCCAAGGATCTTGCGTCAAGAGATGTTGTTTCCAGATCTATGACAATGGAAATTCGAGAAGGGCGTGGTGTAGGTATGATATCATTGATTAAGTTCAATAAATAAGTTTATGTGTTTAGCATTCTTATAGGAGACCCCATGTTCTTAAGTCACTCTGATGGAGTAAATATTCTCCTGGCATCAAATGCATTGGGTAGATATTCACCACAGCACTAATGTTTCAGGTTTATTGCTATTCTTATACTGGTTTCACTCGATAGCTGTTCAAGTCTCTTGCTTTCCTTTTCATGTGTTTTCATGATCTGTCTGGTTAAAGTGATTCTGTTATGACTGTCATATTGAAAGTCTGAAATGCCAGTTTTTTTTTTTCAATTGAAAGTATATTATGCAAATCACCTCTAGCTTGTTTATTTATGGTTGATGTCATCATAATTGGTTTTGAGCATCAATGCATTGTGATTTTCGCCTTATGCTGCATCAGTCCATACGCATGTGTCTTAGCTCTTAATTGGAAGACCTGGCATTTGATGCCCATCAGTCAACTGGACTTCCTATTTATGCTTTACAAGTTGATTCTGATATTTATTGTGTAGTTAATATTGCTCAGAGCCCTGATATTGTATGTGGGTTTATTATTAAAGGAGGGACATCCTCAACTATTGAGTGGAATTGTTTGTAGGGATTATCAGAGTAATGCTAAGAGGCTTTTTTTTATCTGTACAATGAAACTTATCTCACTGAATAATTGAAGTCTAGGAAACTGAATTTTGGTTTTGGAAGTGTTACATACTTTTGCTCTCATATTACCAAATGCAAACTTGAGTGTTCCTCCAAAATTAGAAACTTGTAAAATATCATCCATAGACAATGTGTTTGATGCTAGCCCACCTAAATCTAAAGCAGTGTTGTTAAAGGTTCGCTTAACGCGCTTAAGCCCTGAAGCTCGGTGAACCCCACATTGTGCGCTTCGCTCGCTTAATTGGCGCTTTAATGTATGTGTATGCACCTCGACGGACGGGTTCTGTCTTTAAGGGCATAACATCATATCTATTTTCTTTCAATAGTTTTTATATTCTTTGGCCAAATGGTTATGATTTGTGTTTATAGTTACATTTTCTTGCACTGCATTTCTGTTGTTTATTTTCTTCCTTGGCACCTTTCTTCACTAAAGCCCACTCTTTAATTGCGCTTTGCCCTTAAAGCTCCAACAGACTAGAGCTTTTTCGTACTCTTTGCTTTTGAATACTCTGACCTAAAGTTAATCTTGCTATAATGTTAACTGCGCTTGAAATACAGCAACAATAAGTAATAAACAGCAAATATTTTTAACTTTTGTATTGAAATATATTAATTCATCAGAATTTTGTGATACACTACTCAGGGACCAATTTCAGTTTCCAATTACACGTGAAGTATTCTTTTTACTTATGATTTTTTTTTATGAAGAACAGTATACGTCTCAGACAAACACAATCTGGCTGTTTCATTTATTATATCAAGACAAGATATCTTTCTATTGTTGGCATTATTAGTTGTCAAAAATGTATTGTAAAAAATGTAATGTAAACACATGTTTCATTAAGCTTTTAGTGCTATGGTATCAAAGGTCCACCATGATTCTGGTCGTTTATCTTTCCTTTTGAGAAACTGCCATGTGCAGTTTCAGTAAAAGATTGAACATGTTCGTGATCGAATCTTTTGATAGAACTGAGGAAGTGTTTGTTTATGGACAAGCTGTGTATGTTAGACACCCTTTTCCTAGGATTGCGCAAGTACATTTGTGGTGCTTAGTTTCTGAGCGTAGTGCATGTGTTCAGGATTAACCCCATGCCCTGTTTCTCTCCTTTTTCTTCCCCCTTTTAGAGTGGTCGCGACTACTGGACCTTTTTGAAAATTCTGATGTTGTTGTCAAACTTTCAATAGGACCATTGAAGGATCATATCTATCTTCACCTCAATCACTTACCTCCAGAGGTCCTTAAGGAGAGACTTCCTGGTATCTCTGAAACAGCTGCAATTTTTGCTGGTGTTGATGTAACTAAGGAGCCAATTCCCGTTTTACCTACCGTGCATTATAATATGGGAGGAATTCCCACAAATTACCATGGAGAGGTATTAAAAATTAGTTAATGACTCTTTGAAAATCTATTTTTCAGCTAATGTTTTTTAACCTGCTCAATTTAGGAGGTGAAACTCATTTGTTAAATGTTTGTTTGGCAGGTGGTCACTATTAAAGGAGATAATCCTGATGCCGTGGTTCCTGGACTGATGGCTGCTGGTGAAGCAGCATGTGCATCAGTTCATGGTGCCAATCGTCTTGGTGCAAATTCTCTTCTAGATATTGTTGTTTTTGGGCGGGCATGTGCTAATAGGGTTGCTGAAATCCAAAGACCAGGTTTGTAGAATTTGTTAGTCTATTTACCCTAACCTTTGGGCATGCATAACATTTTTAAGATTTCTGACCATGCATTCCTGCAGGAGAGAACCAGAAGCCACTTGAGAAGGATGCGGGAGAGAGGACCATTGCATGGTTGGACAAGATTAGGAACTCAAATGGTTCACTGCCTACATCAAAGATTCGGCTGAATATGCAGAGAGTTATGCAAAACAATGCTGCTGTGTTCCGCACACAAGAAACACTAGAGGAAGGTAGGCAGGAGGTTTTCATCTTTGTTAAAATTTATTTCAATCTTTTTTTACCGTAAGAGTTGTCTGGGGAAGGATTCTGTTTCTTCTAAGTTTTTGGCGACTTTATCAGCTGAGCTGACTACTTCCTCTGCACCCTTTTCCTCTATTGCCTTACAGGTTGCCAGCTCATTGACAAAACATGGGAGAGTTTCCATGATGTTCAGTTGAAGGATAGAAGTTTAATATGGTATTATTGCTAGGAGAATATCAATTCTTATTAAGTAGTATTAAGGTGTTTCGTATCCTCTTGCTTTTTTTGAATTTCCTCCTATTTTTAATTCGTAGGAACTCAGATCTTATAGAGACTATTGAGCTGGAAAACCTTTTGATCAATGCATGCATCACCATGCACTCAGCCGAGGCTAGAAAAGAAAGCAGAGGAGCTCATGCTCGTGAAGATTTTACGGTCAGTTTCAATTTCTCTCCTAGTCTCCTTGTGAATCAGTTACTTTTCCTCTAATTTTTTGTCCCTAATGGAGTGAAATTTTGATGGTTTTGCAGAAAAGAGATGATGAGAAGTGGATGAAACATACACTAGGGTAAGAAATGACCTTATTTATTGCTATCACTTACTCCTAGTCATTTAGTCTGCAATAATTGATAAAAGGTCTTGCTTGATTATCCATTAAATTGCTTTTCCATGGACCTATATATTCTTGTTTGCAGTAGAGAGGGGTTTTTCCTTTTTTGGGAGGGTGGGGGGGGGGGGTTGGTATTGCAACCTCAAGTAGTGAAAATCAGTTATTACCATTATAATTTATAAAAATTCTAATTTCCCTCCAACATTGAAAATGATAGTAGGTGAATATCTGAGAAAATGAATACACAGGAAGGTAAAAAATCTTTCGCATTGTTAAAACACTTGTATCTTTTGATTTTTGAGTTTTTGAATAGTATGAAGATTTAAAAAAATTCTAATTGGTCTTTTCTATAAAATATACTTTTCAACGATGTGTTATAAAAAGTATGAAAAAGAATGTTAAGATGTGTATAACAGGTGCATTATACACGAAAATCCTAGAGCCTCATTTGTCCACTGACACTAGATATGTTTTTGCCACATGATAAGTGAATCTTGATGGGAAATATTAATGTACTTCTTGTTTGACTGGCAAGCATTGGAGTGTGTTAACAAAAGCGCCAGAATGTTTCCTCTCGTTAGCGAAGGACGAAGCAATAATGATACCACCCCCTCAATTAAAAAATCACTCAAGTTTATGTCCCTCCTGCATGAGAATAAAATCTATCTTGCATGCCTTCCACTGGGAAATAATCTAATATATTGCACCTGTACTTTTGGTTTTCTTTACTCGTATTCTCCCTGTGGATCATGATGTGCAGTGCTGTTAGGCGTTGAGTCTTGATAGTCAGCTATTACGGTTGGATTTGGCTATAAGCTGTTCAAAATATGGACTTTTCTATTAGCCTTATGTAACCTGGTATAGAATCACCTTTATAAACTAGCATCATCAGATTGGTAGTACTTGCCCACCCCAGGGGGTTTCGATTGGATTGTTTTACCTACTATTTGCCAGTACTTTGCTTTCCTGGTTGGTCCTATTGGTGTTCGTTTTAATGGTTGCTTTTTGAAGTTTGTAACTTACATCTTCCTGAATGTAGTAGCAGCCTATATTTCCACAATTTTCTATTTGAAAGTGTGACTTGATTGTTCTTCAGTGCTATTCTCATTGTTAGATGCATTCTCCTTAGCGTTTAGCTTGTTAACAAAGTTTATTTATCTGCAGATATTGGGAGAATGAGAAGGTCCGGCTAGAGTACAGACCAGTTCATATGAACACTCTAGATGACGAGGTCGAGACATTCCCACCTAAGGCACGTGTCTATTGATATATTTATTTGTAGGGGCTTTGGGTGGCATAGAAGTTGATAATAAGGATTATGCAAGGTTGCAATAAATCACCCAAATTGTGAAATTTTGGTAATAATTGTTGATTTTATTGTGCAATCTGAAGCAGCCTGAAGTGTGCATAAATATTTAGAAGCAGAACACTGCTTCTGTCTTTTCACTTCCTGATCTTGTAGCTGGTATTATCATTTGTTTATACTACTGCATATTCTACTTCTCGTAATTTGACATGATTGACGACGTGGATGACTTAAACTTACCGCGATGCCTTTTTAAACTCATTTAAAGCGCTTTTGTGGGTTATATTTTCTAATGAGCAAGGAATGCTGGAACTTTAAAAAAGTTTTCAATTTTAGGGATGTGGAAAAGAGCTTCTCGTTGCTGTACAATTTATAGGCGTTTCTACTAAATGTTTGTCTTAGTGAATGGTGTGTAAAGGATGGTTGCCCGAACTCTAGTTTTTCTTGTTTAATTTGTGAATTCTCACTTTTAAGGGTTGTTTGAGTGCGAATAAATAAATGGTTGATAAGTAATGGATAATTGGGTTTTAAATTGCGGAGCGATAGGAGGCTGTACATGTTTATGAAAGCAGTTGACCTGCCCTTCAAATATATTTCGGAGTTTGGCTTGTCTTGATGCATGTATAGAATTAAAAGATTCTTTAAGTTTTGCTCTCAGTGTTGACGTTTCACAAAATTTTAGTCTCAGATGACGTTTGGCGGTCGCATACTATCGTGCTTTCACCTTCATTCCAAACTTTCTCATTGATCTGAGATGGACCAAGTGGGGTTATGCTTTTACTGATAATGTATATTTCAGCCCAAGTTATCTATATTTTGTGGCGTAAATCTAGGTAATAACATATTGACTCATGAATAGTCTCTTCTTGTATCTTGGTCGTGAGAAACTTCATCTTGCCAATTCGGGGTTGTTTGATGGTCATAATTTTTAACTAACAGCATTATAGAACAATTGAGAGGTTCAAAATTGTTGAGACAGAGGATACCACTCTGTATGTGATTATAAATGTCATGTCATTCCTCTATCCATTTTGTAGGATACTTTCATAACTAACTATTTCTTTTTAATTATAATGCAGCGTAATTGCAATTATTTTCAATCCGTTATTATGTGAAACACATTTTTTGTTTTCTAGTGGGTGAAAGAGATTGAAAATGCTCCTTAAATGATTTGATTAATTCGAGCAGAAACGAGTCAATAGTTTTTTCAGTCAAAAGGTGCGGTACAATCCCACTCAGTTGGCTACGTCTTCATTTTCCAACCTCTCAAAGTCCAATGCAAGACATTCAAAAAGCCACTAGATGTGTCTCTATTTTGTTCCTACAACTCACTACAAAAGTAATAAGCAGATTTTCCACTAAAGCAGTTCCTTCTTGGATTTGATCAATAAACCACTCTATTACAACCTTTGACCAGCAACCAGCTCTTTTGTCATTATTCATGAGAGTGTTTGTAATTCAACTAAACATCTAAAACTACACCCCTCCTGCTAAATGAGTTTTGTGATTCTGTGGACTATATATATATATATATATATATATGCAGTTGCCAATCTCGGATTGGTAAACTCTAATCAAAAAATTAAAAGGATTACAAATGTAAGAAATTTTTATACTACATGTGATATTATCTTACTCACCATTTACTATGAGTTCATGCTTTATCGTAGATTTAATACGTAATTACCTTACTTATAAGTAATTTGATTATGTAAATATATTTTACATTATTATTGCATAGAGCTATTTTACTCCAATTATGTAAATATCAAATGAAAATACTACTGAAGTAAAAGTCTTTGGATTGATATTGCAATTTTCCCTCTGTTCCATCGAAGGGGCATTGTCAGATACAGTTTGAAAAGCGGAGCAAAATTTAGGAAATGAGGAAAAGACATGAGCAAATTAAGGCAAACAAACAATATCTGTGGGAGTGAAATGTGAGTTAATTCATTTATAGAATTGTTGCTTGATTTTTGTTTGCTCAAAAGTTATCACATATCTTATGAGTGCAAAACAATACAAATAATCACGGGAAAATCATAGCAAATCGTAATAATACATTGGACCAAATGAAAGAAACGAAAATAAGTACTCAGAATTAGGGGGAGAAACATTAAAAGCCTTTATTGATAATATTTGTTTGGTCTGCCTCTCCATGAAGAGGTTCAGAGCCTTACAATGGTGTTTTTCTCTTCCCATAAGATGGGTATATTTTTCCCTTCTCTCTCCTGTCTATAGTAGTGAAGAAGCAGCACCCTTTCTAGGGCTTCCACTCTTAGTATTTACAGATGTGAGCTTCATGAGCTGGCAATAAATGGCCGTGGCCACGCTGAGGTTCCGTCCCCGTGGGGGAATGAATGGGCCGTGCCCTCGTAGATTCAATCGGACAAGAGTCGAATCCTCTTATAAATAAGTGGCCGTACCACTTAATAATTATGGATTAGCACAAGAGGAGATTAACTCCGTTAATTACCGTGAGGTCAGATTCTGACCCATACAGTTAGTCCCTCCGCTTATTGAGGCCGTGTTTCGGCCGAGCTCGATGAGCGGATTTCATCGATTGTGATTTGAAAAAGCTCGAATAAGGGGGTCGACTTATTGACGGCGGCGGCCTTAGTCGTTTACACGTTGGAGATGGCCGTAGCCTTTCATATATTGGAGGTGGCCGTAGCCTTTCATATAATGGCGATGGCCGTAGCCTTTCATATAATGGCGATGGCTGTAGCCTTTCATATGCTGGAGAGCCGTAGCCTTTCACATATTGGGGGTGGCCGTAGCCTTTCATATTTTGGAGATGGCCGTAGCCTTTCATATATTGGGGGTGACCGTAGCCTTTCATATGTTGGAGATGGCCGTAGCCTTTCATATATTGGGGGTGGCCGTAGCCTTTCATATTTTAGAGATGGCCGTGGAAAATGAGTATGCACCGGGTACGTATTTGGTCACGTCCAGAATTTTGAAGGCGTACGGCGCATTCTTTCAGCGTTTGCAGGCCGTTGCGATTATTCTGACGGCGGGACGCTGGCGGATGGCTGAGAAGCCGCTTCGCGGAGCTTGTCATAATGACGCTTGCTTCGGCAGAATCGAACCGTTTTACGGTTGGTCGTGCAGTTAATGATGCCTATTGGGTTTCGCGAAAGCCATTTATGTTGCCTATAAAGGTGGGTTGAGGCATTCATTTCTCATATCTTCATTGTTCATCTGAGAGAGAGACTCTGAGGAGACTTTTTCGTTTCGCTAATTCATCTTCTCTTTTCTTTCCTTTGATTGTGGTATCATTTGTCTTCAGTAGATCAACAATGGCAGTCAGTTCTTCCCACGGTGCTCTTCCGGTAGATTTTCCGGTAGTTGGAGGGCCATCTCCGGCGATGGGAGGTGCAGAACAGATGGAGTCCGGCGAAATTCCGTCGGTTGACGAGGTGGTTCCTCGGCCCGGAGGTCTGGCGATTGATTTCACCGTCGACGGTGGAGAGGAACTGGTGGATGAAGCCCCGTTGATGGGGGAGATCGGGATGGCCCGATTGCGGGAACAGGGGGTCGTTCCTACCCATGCAGACATCGTTCTCGCTAGAAGCGAGGAGAGGGTCCACACCGACCGCAGGGGATACTGCGTTTTTTACGCCTATCCTTTCAGGTTGGGGTTCAAGATCCCGCTCCCAATGCTGGTGGTGGATTTCTGCCGTTATTACGGGGTGTGCCCGGGTCAGCTCACTCCTTCCCTCTACAAACTGCTGGCAATGTTCATCAAGTACGCGGAATTGGCCCGAAGGGAGGTCACGCTGCAGCATGTGCTGAGTCTCTACGCTCCCCAGAGAGTCCGTGGTACCATGATTCAGGCGTGCCCTCGTGGGTCGAGGGGCCTGGTCATGAGATTGGATGACGAGGTCGACCCCCGCCCTTTCGAGCACTTCTTTTATATTAGGACCAAGCACCTGGTGGCGGATGCTACTGGGTTTCCAGAGGCTTGGAACCATGCACGTAAGTTCTTTAGTGGTTGAATTCTCTTTTCTTCCCCTCTTTGTGATTTGTGCTTATGAGCGTTAACTCGTGTCTTTTTTGTAGCCGACAGGTCGCCGCCGCCCCCATTGTCTTGGATACGTGAGTGGGTCGAGGCCGTACTCCCCCATACGAGGGGGATACGTACGTGGGCGTCTTTCTGGGAGAGGCATGGCCGTAGGCCTGCGGCAGGTAAAAAATTGATTTCTTCTGTTCCGCTTTGTTTCAGCTCTATTCATTAACCTTGTTTTCTTGTGACTAGGGAGGGCACGCCGCGTCAGGGCCCCTCAGCTGGCCTTCCGTCGGCCTGGTGCAGTTGCTCGGCTTACTGCAGCGCCGGTGTCGCGCTCAACACCGAGGGCGGCATCAGTCGAGTCTTCAGCGGTTTCTTCTCCATCACGGACCCTACTTCGGGACGAGGGTCCATCGGGGGTTGTGCGCCCTAGAGCGGAATCGTCATCAGATGGGGAGGAGGAGAGGCCGTTGATAAGGCGTAGGGTCGCGTTCGCGCCGGCTCCTCCTGTGGTGATTAATTTGGGTTCCCCGCCGGCAGACGCGGAGAGGAATGCAGCTGCGGCGCCTGCCCTCGAGGGCGAACAATCAATGGGGGTTGCCCCGGTTGGCTTAGGCCGTGATGATACCGTCGCTTCGGCGACTCAATTGGTGGTTCCAGTCGCTAAGACGGGAGGTAGTTCCTCAGCGGCTGCTGATGTGGGTGAGGATGAGTCTGAATCCGAACTGGATCCCGACAACGTCCGTNGATCTCGCTTTATCGAGGTTCCCACGGAACTGAACTTATTGCTCCAAGTGAAAGCTTGGTGCCGCAGTTCGAGACGCTATGCTCGGAGGCCGCGAATGCATCGTTGAGGGGCATTACGGATATCAGGCTAATGAATGAAGTAGCCGTGATGGGCTTGAGGGTATGTACTGTTGCGTCGGTTCGCTTATTCTTTGCTTTAGGTTTATTCTTTTATTCTGATCGTTGTCTTTGCTTTGTAGTCTTATCTGTTGGAGGTGGAGAGCATTCGTCGAGCCAAGGTCCGTTCGGGGATATTTTTGCGGGCGCTGGAGAAGTATCGCCGCTACCGAAATCAGTGCCGAGAGTTGCGCGTGCGCTTGAAGAATGATCCTCGGAGCCGGGCCTTGGTCGAAGAGCTGGCGAGGCGGGAGCTTCAGATGCAGCAAATACTTGGCAAGACGAGTGCTCTCGAAGG